ATCCAATATGACTTGTTTCCCTTTAAGAAGAGGAAGAGATACCAGGGACTCAGGCACACAGAGAAAAGGCCATATGAAGGACACAGAGAGAAGGCAGCCACCTGTAAGCCAAGGAGAGAAACCTCAGGAGAAATCAACCCTGGTGACACTTTGATGTTGGACTTCCCACCTCCAGAACTATAACAAAATAAATTTCTCTTGCTGAAACCACCCAGTGTGGTTATGGCAGCTCTAGCAGACTAATAATTCAGAGGGGAAGCAGAGGGCCAAACATTTTTCACACCTTGGCTCAGTATAAGTCATAGGAGGTCACCTGCTGTCCCTGGGCATCCTAGGAGGGAAAGTCCTTTGGAATATTCCTGCTCCTCCACAATTATGGATTTCTTTCCATTAAATATCTTTCAGTCATGATACATGGTTTTTGCAGAAATGGGTAGGGAAAAAGTCTACTGAAAACTTCTTTTGTCATCATCTGATCTCAAACAGAAAGTAAAGTACCAAAAGACTTTGAAATGACATGAGGGTATGAAAGTTGCTTAAACCCTAACATGACCATTTTCTCCTTCCTTTGGGATCTACACACCTACCACTATATTTATTATTTTCAGAGGGTGAAAAAGGAACCAGAGAGACAGTTGCTACTAAAGCAAAGAAGCAGACAGGAAATGGGAGAGTTTTTTTTTTCTTTCTGAACAAATCCCTCACCTGTACAATAAGAGGTTTAGGTTACATAGTCTTGATATTTCTTCTCTGTGTTTTAAAGAGAAATAATAACTAACATGTGCTCCTAAGCACCTAATACTGTATCATCTTACACAGTCCTCAAGACAACCTTACAAGGTACTATTATTATCCCTATTTTGCAGATGAGGGAACTAAGATACAGAGAGATCACACAGCAAATCAGTAGTAATGATCAGATTTGAAACCAAGAAGGACAATTCCAGATTCTACAGTCAACAGCTCTGTGTTGTGCTTCACATCAGGTAAAGTAGGCCTCTCAGAGTGTCCTGACACACAGAACACACAAAAGGATGAGTGGCTTAAGACCTGGAAATGATCCAGGGTTTGTGAGCATCTGGCACTGGAATCAATCCAAAATCAATATTTAAACAACAGTTACCTTTACCCCCAAATTGTCTCATTGACTGCTGAGTTTGAATCAGAGCTATGGAGAATGCTGCTCTGTGGTTTAGTGTAAAACTTAAAGATCACCATGAGTACTGACAGCCCAATAAATAGAGAAAGAGAGAGAGAGAGAGAGAACTTTTTTAAAAAACAGAATAAGCATTAGGAGTGTAAAAAAGAGCTTGGTTGCACTTATAGACTGCTAACCCCAGTAAACCCCAGCAAGTTAGGAATTCTAAGAGATTTTTGCAAAGTGTGGTTTCCATACAAAAGTGAGTTGAATGCCCCTGAAGAAGTTCCTCTGTTCGTTGCTTGGCCGAGCACTCGCTGCAAACTTCCCTGGGAGGTTTATCCAATGAAGTGAGCCTGTAGAAGGAAAAACCAAAAACCAGGGCCCTCGGCTTATCTTTAAAAAAAAAAAAAAAAAAAGTTAAAATATAACCTCTCTCTCTCTATCCATCCTTAGAATTACATTTTCCAGAGAAGTCCCTTTCCTGGTAGATATAATCCTAATTAAAAATAAATTACATGCTGTATAGAACTTGAAATGGAAAAGATAATCCTATTACATATGAGAATGTATCCTGATTTTCTTTCCCGCTCAACTGTGGGAGATATCAGATCCGTCTGAGCCCCCCATTGTCGCCTCTTTGAAAACTTTCCTAGAGCCCTAATCCGTCACGTGACGCCCGTGTCAATCTCGGTGTCTGCACGCGAGTTTCACAAAGCCGGCATTAGGCTCGGTAACAGAACCCCAGCTTTGCGGAGCCCGCGACATTTGCATTCGGAGAAAACGCCGGCCATTGTGGAGCTGTGTTTGTTCTCAGGATTGCGAGACAGTTGCAGGCGAAGTTGCTAAAACCAAGAGAAAGGGGTTCCTTTGAGCCTGCCCAGGCCTTTTGGTATGATAACAAGGCGATTTGAGTGGCTTTTGTGGGGCCCGGATCAGCGCCGGGGCGGGCGACCTCCCCTCCTCCTCCTCTGCAGCCCCACCTCCCCGGACAGTTTTCCTCCCCGGGGAGTTGCCGCGGACGCTGAAGTGCTATTTTAAATCGCATTTCCATAATCTGGCGGCTGCCCGCGGCCGGCCGGAGCTCGCGTGCCTTCACACCTCCAGGCCGGCTCCGAAAGGCCTCTGCGCCCGGCCGCCGCAGCGGCGCTCGGGCTCTGCTCCCCGGCTCCGCGGCCAGGGCTCCGCGCGCCCGGCTCTGCGCTTCCTGGCGCCGCCACTGTCGTTGCCACTTCCGAGCGGCCGAGGCCCTGGCAGCGGATAAAACGCTTTGGACCCGCTACTAGCCGCTATACACCCCTCCTCCTGCCTCCTGGCTTTTGCCTGCTTCCCCACTCTTCCGTTTCCCACCTCCAAGCACGCCTTCGTTTATTTAAGCCTTGAGAATGAGCATGCTGACGCGCAAGAGCTTAGAGTAAAAATACCAGGTAGTTCCGAATCTCTGGCCAAGCCCCAAACCCAAACTTCAGCTGCGCACGGCTGGGTTCCCGCGGTCCAGGCCAGAACTGCAGGCGCTGGGGCGCAGGGGCGCAGGGGGTGTTGGCGTGGGGTCCGGCTCCCAGCCACTCGCGGTCGGGCTCTGCTCGCGGGAACGGCCGATGGCACCGGTTCTCTGGGACTCCAGCCCCATCGCTGCCGCCCTCCTTTTCCCCCTCCGGTGGTTCTTCTCCACGCAGTGCCAGACCTCCCCGGTTACAGAGCGGAAGCACTGAGGCCGCTGTCCACCAGCCCAGTTCTGAATCTGCTCCCGTCTGGTGAGCAGGCAGGACGTGAGCCTGGGAGCTCCAAAGATCACCAGCAGGCCCAGGTCGGGGTGGGGGTGTTCCGGGGCTCAGAAAGGAAACAGTTCTTTCAGCTGCGTATACCTCTCAAGGAAGGTTTCTTGGGTGGGGAAGGACAGAGAGCAAGATATTAATGGCACTTGGGAGGTGGAAAAAAAGTGGAAGAAAAGGCTCGGAATTGGGCTCCCGTATCGGGTGTTGCCCTTTCCACGTCCCGGCGCGGCTGCACATGCCTGGCCACACTGCTTTTAGCATTCCCAGGGCTTTAAGGCGGAGGAGGAGGGGAAGGGAACAGGATGGCGCTGAGGAAATCCCCAGCTACGCGCCGTCTCTGTTCCCCAATGTCATAAGAGCTTTTATTTATTGATGCCTGGGGCTGCATTTTCTGCTCTCTGACTATTCCAAGCGCCTCCCTCACCCTCTCCCACCCGGCTCCCTGCTTGGTCTCCCTACTCTGGGGGAACTCCTGATCCTCTTCTGAAAAGATCCCAAAACACAATCCCTCGACTTTGAGGGAAAGGAAAATATGAATAGGATGCTGATAACAGGACCAAAATTGGCATTCTGAAAAACGTTTACTGAATTCAATCTGTTCGTCTAACCCATCGCGTTTTTTTAAAAAATTTCTTCGAGTCCATGGCTTTTGTTTTCACCTCTCCTCCTTCGTGTGTACATAGCCTGCTGGATAAAGCCCTTCAGTGAGAACCATTAAGAATTGGTCTTGTTCCGGATTGGAGCCCCATCTCCCAGGCCTTCAGGGATGGGAGGGGACTACCTGTGGGGCCAGCGCAGCGCAGGATCAGCCCCCGGACCCGCCCAGCCCAGAGTTTGGCTATGCCAAAGCTCCACACTTTCCTAGGCAGATGGTTAAGTTCCTCCAGGTTCGTGCCAGGTTTCAACGTCACGCTGTGATTTTGTTCTTCTGGAACAGGATGAGTGTTGCTTCCCAGAGAGGCCCTATTAGAACAGAAAGAAAATCCTCTAAATAGGCGGAACAAGGCATCAGGAGGGAAAGTTCTCTAAATGCACTTTTAATATGAGCCGGGTATTGTGTGGAATTCAGCGCCCATCACCGTTTAGCCAGAGAGTTATGGCAGTGATTGGGGATGAATAGAGAAACATAATGGATACATGTGGCGTTTGCTCATTATATTCAAGTTAGCCCAACTCCGCTGTGGAAACTGTTCAACTTTCTCTCCCCTCAGCTTGTCACAGTGAAATAATACAGACATTGGGGCCTCCAATGGGATCGCCTGCCACGCCATTCTATTTCCACTGCTAACGAGGGCTTCATAAGCCTTTGATACAGTCTGATCTTTGAAACCTTTCCAAATCTCCTCAAGCTTATGCTAAATCCTATTTGGAACTTTTTTTTTCCTTGCCTGCTAACGCCCAAGGCTTAAGAAAGCCATTTGGACAGTGACATGCATACTAACATATCGCAGGGCTCTTTTCTGAAAGGGAAGTGGCGGCTCTGATCACCGAGGCTCACACGAGCAAAACACAATTGTGTACACAAATGTGAATAAAATCAATTTTCCCTTATCCTTCAGGCTTCTTAATCGAGAGGCTATTCCGGGCGCCGTAGGAAGCTGGGAGAAGACAGCAGAGCCTCAGTCCGCAGAGCAAGCCTCTGGATAAGGGGCTGCAAGAGTTTGGAAGCCTCGGAGGTGCAAATGCAGAGGCGAGGGCGGAGGGGAATCCGGAGCCACTGGGGCGAAACCCCAGCGTGTTCGCTGTTAGTTCTAGCAGCCGGCACGGTGGGGGAGGCGGTTGAGGGGGGAAGGGGGTTGAGGGAGGGGAGGTACAATCAGATCCTTTTACTCCCAGAGCCGTGTGCCAACTCCTCTATATGCAGGGTGCTGACAAGAAAAGGAGGGGGAAGCAAAAGGAGTTAAAGAAACAAAAGAAAGATTCCCTAATTTTCCTTTCTTGTTTTCCCTTCTAAGCCTTTCCACATTGAAGGGATTGTCAGAGGCGGGCGGAAGAGCAGCGCGAGAGCGAGGCGGCTATTGGCTGCCTGGCTCTGTTGATTTGCATATCGGCGGCTATAAAAGTGAAGGCTGCGCGCGGCGGCGCAGCTCCTGTGAGAAGGGAGGGAGAGGAGCCGGGTGAGGGCGGGTCCGCGCGTCCTCAGATCCCGCTGGAGCCCCGGAGCTGCAGCTCGCAGACTTCTCCCGCACAGGCTTCGCAAAGAGCGTGATTCGGAGAGCCTGGGAATCACGCCGAGACCTGCAAACCAGAAAAGACTCTCTTCCTTAGCCTTACGGAATAGCACTTAGGGCTGGAGGCATGAGTCCTGTGAGGCAATGGGGCAGCCCCTGCCTTTTCCCCTTGCAGCTCTTCAGCCTCTGCTGGGTGCTCTCCGTGGCCCAGAGCAAGACAGTGCGATACAGCACCTTCGAGGAGGATGCCCCCGGCACGGTCATCGGGACCCTGGCCGAGGACCTGCATATGAAAGTGTCTGGAGACACAAGCTTCCGCCTGATGAAGCAGTTCAACAGCTCTCTGCTCCGGGTGCGCGAGGGCGACGGGCAGCTGACCGTCGGGGACGCGGGCCTGGACCGTGAGCGGCTGTGCGGCCAGGCCCCGCAGTGCGTGCTGGCCTTCGACGTGGTCAGCTTCTCTCAGGAGCAGTTCCGGCTGGTGCACGTGGAGGTGGAGGTGAGGGACGTCAACGACCACGCGCCGCGCTTCCCTAGGGCCCAGATCCCCGTGGAGGTGTCCGAGGGTGCGGCCGTGGGCACGCGCATCCCCCTGGAGGTGCCGGTGGACGAGGACGTGGGCGCCAACGGGCTGCAGAGCGTGCGCCTGGCCGAGCCACACAGCCCCTTCCGCGTGGAGCTGCAGACGCGCGCGGACGGCGCCCAGTGCGCGGATCTGGTGCTGCTGCAGGAGCTGGACCGCGAGAGCCAGGCGGCCTACAGCCTGGAGCTGGTGGCCCAGGACGGCGGCCGCCCGCCACGCTCCGCCACGGCCGCCCTCAGCGTGCG